GAAAACCAGATGGCCCCTTCTACTTTTGATTAAAAATCGTTGAGGATTCTCAGCGCTATTAGGATTACTCTAATGAAATCTTGGGTGTTTTTGTTCCATAAAACTACTAATTGGATAATTATTGTTATGCCCAATAGCGTTTACATGTTAATCATTTTGAACATAAACTTGATACTCATGATTCAGATGATTACCTACACAAGCATCACAATTTTCAAGTTGCCATAATGATTGATAACTTACCTGAAATGCCTCAAATTTTTGTGTTAGAGTTGTGATTTGTTGGTTAAATGAATTTAAAGCTTCAACTTGATTGATTCCTACTGCTTTTTTCATAATCACTCGGTCAGATGGCCATTGAACTGTATTTCTGAAATTTCATTTAGTAGTTTTATTGCTTCTGCAGTTCTTTAGCTCATTATAAATCCTCCTGATGATGCATCAATTACATTTCTAGCTGATGGTTTTAGGCCATGATAAAAAAATTATAACATATCGGGATATGAGATTCCATGGTATGGACATTTTCTTAGCATTGAACCTAGTTTTTCCCAAGCCTGATAAACAGATTCAATATATGTTTGCATAAAATTATTAATTTCTTTGTTCATTTTAATTGATTTTGCAAGTGAAAAGTACTTGTTAAAATTTTTCTAGGTCATTTGATCCCATGTGCTAATAGAACCTCTTTGTAAGCTACGTAACCATGTCTTGGCTTCTTCTTTTAGTGAAAAAGGAAAAATTCGCAATAAAATTGCATCAGTTGTGACACCATTGTACTTACAAGTTTAAACTAGCTCAAGAAAATCAATCAGGTGACTGTGAGGATCTTCAACTACAGAACCTGTAAATTGACATGAATTTTTTATGGTCTTAATTAAGCCTGTGCGGATCTCAAAGTTATTTGCTGCTATTGGTGTCCTCCGCACACTTGATTCTCCTTCAAAGTGATCAGGTCTTATATAATCTCCAAGAATCCTATCAAGTTGAGGTGCTACCTCATCAAATTGTTCTTCTACTTGATGTGGTGGAAGTGGATTGTTATTATTATTAAGCTCGTTGTTCACTATTTCTTATTGTGAAGAGATTCAAGATTGAGAGGCCTGCTCTTTTTGTAAGAACCGCAATGATTTTTCAATTTCGGAATTGTATAAAACCAATTTTCCTAAAGAAGAACGGGTGATATACTTCCTGAAATTTTAGAAAAATGATTTTAAAGTTTTTTTTTTAAAAAAACCTCAATTTAGTTGTAAAAAACAATTAATCTGTTGTCGATTTTTGCCAATCCCTGGCAGTGGCGCCAAAAATTTGGCGAGTCACTGATTGTATATATCTTTAACGCGCAGTGTGTCAAATAATAGAATAAAAATATGTCGAACCCATAAAGATTGGTTTGTCTTTTCTACAGATGTTTCTTGTTTAAAATACTATTTAAGAAAATCAAAAATAGTTGAAGGGTTAATCAATTAATTAATAATACAAAAATAGAGAAAATATGTTAGTTATCACAATATATTAAAAGATGTTGGGGATCTTGACTTCAACAATATTTCTATGTAAAGTAAATTATTTATTCCTAAATTTATATTTCTCATAAAGTATAATTATCTCTCATGATTATATTTATATATTTTTACAAAAATTAAACAATTAAATGCACTCCACTCGTTTATACTATTTAATTGCCAAAATAGTAATATTTTAGAACATGAAATGTGTACTTGAACTAAAACATATTTTTCTAAGTAAGTCTCTTTAGATTAACTTACTTGTTATAACTAATTATTACACTATTTGCCTCTTTCGATTACAAATAAGTGTAAATTAATTATAACATAAAATAGATAGATGTCCCTACCATATAAGCAAAATACCAATACCCCAATTAACAATATTACTTCTTCGTCCTCTCTTGATTACAAAATTAGTAATATGTTAATACGTAATAATCAATGGATATATGTTAATAAATCAAATAACATTTAACTATAAAATAAATAAAAATGAAATCTATAGCTTAAGGTCACACACATAAATTTAGATATAATAACTACTATTATATAGAAGAATCAAGATCCGTCAACTTCCCAACACAAAAGAAAATTACTCCATAATAGAAATAATATTACCAATGAAAATATTCTTCTCCATTAAATAAAAAATAGAAGAAATATTCAAGGAAAATAATTCCACTATTTAATTAAAAGCAGGAATTAGAATAATTTTCAACATTAAATACTTAAAAATGTAGTACAAAAAGAACTCAAAGAAATATATCGATTGTTTTGTTTTGGGCCCTCTCTACACTGCTATATCAACTCGTTTCTCGTGCAATTTATAGAAATTCTTTGAAGAAGAAAATCACCATTTTCTTCCATTTTTTCCACTTTATAGTTGATAATTTTAACAAAATCAAAATGGTAGGTCAAATGTATACCAACATTTGACAAAAAATTTTCATTTAACTTGTCTTATGCTTTTTTTCATTTTGGTTGCTATCATGCTTCCATATTTTTCAACTTTATTTTCCGTATTTGCTCAATCTTTCTTTCCTCTCTTTCATAATTCTTTAATATCTCTATTTATGTTGGATAATTCCTTCTAACGACACTTTTGTTTATATTGGCACATATCTACTTAGTTGATATTTTATTATTATAAAGCAACATTTTTTGTAAAGAAAAATTTAAAATATTAATATTAAAATTAAATAACAACTTAATATATATATATATATATATGTGTGTGTGTGTGTGTGTGTGTGTGTGTGTGTGTGTATGTATGTATATATATATGTATATATATATGATAGTTTTCGATTATAATATGTATAGCGCTCCATGATGGATACTATATTTCAAGGGACATATCGCATGCCACGATGGATACTATATTTTGTGGGACGTATCACGTTCCATTATGGATAATATATTTTGAGGAACGTATTGTGTGCCACTTTGGTTACTACTATTGTGGGTTGTATCACAAACCGTGATACATGCATGTACATATATATCCCGTAGCGGTCCTGGTCTGAGAGACAACGGGTGTGTATTACTAAGTCATACATGACCATTACATTCCATTGCATTACACATATTTCTCATTAGTGAACTTGATATTGTAGCGGATCTTGGGAGTTCCTTTCTGTGGAACTTTGATTGATGAATATTGAGGTTGCTGTTAGAGCTATGTAATTGGTATAGTATTGTTGTTGAGTTGTTTACTATGTGAATTATGACTTGTTAGGTTGTGCAGGTTTAATGCAAGATGTACTTGTGGAAGTTTTATTGATGATTATTGAGCTCATTGTTTAGAATATGTGATGCTTAGAATGTTGTTGTTGAGATATGTGCTTGTAAATAGTGAATTGTTAGGTTAGGTTGATTTTTAAGCAAATTATAGTTGTAGAAGCTTGGTTAGGGTTGTAAGGGTACTCGTATTCCATTTCCTTAGCTTGTGTTTAGAGCTTTAGTTTTTGTGTACCGTGTGATTTGGTACTTACCCCTTTCTTCTATAGTTTTTAGTTGGTTACTAGCCCCTTCCTTTGTAATATGTTCTCTTTTTTTCCGAGGCTTCTCGTAGATTTGTGAGGTAGCTGTTTTTCATCTCACCAAACTTTCTTAATCATGTTTATGATCTTTTCTAATTCAGAAACAATGTAATATGTGCCTTGTATTTTTCTTTTAATTCAATTGTATCTCAACCAAATTTTGGGGGTATTTAATTTACGCATTTTATTGTAATGGTATAATTTCAGGCTGACTTTTATTGGTGGGACAAGATCAGTGTCATCACATCAATTTTTGGGGTCGTGACACAGCGATAATTCTCAACAGTTGGGAAAAGACATACCTTTTAAGGTGTCTTTCCTTTTGTTGGAGAATGTGGTTAAGAAGAATTCGTACATGAGAGGTTTTGATTAGAAGGAGCATAATTGATTCAATAGAGTGTTGTTGTTCTATTGATGATATACAAGAATCTTCTATGGATTTATTTATTCTCTATCTTGATTCATATAAATGTTGAGGTTTTCTGCAGAAGTTACATGTTTGCATTTTCCAGTGGTTCAACTTAGGTATATTTTGGAGGATAGGTGGAATATTGATTTCTCTAAAAAATTGAAACCATTTCGTAAAGCAGTTCCTGCATTTATTATATGAAGTATATGGAAAAGAAGAAACTTGAACAATCATTGGGAGAAAATGAGTAAGCTAGCTTTAGTGTGGGAGATTAAAAAAACATATATTTATTTGAAAAATGTTGATATCCTTGGCTTAAAGAGATGGGTAAGACTTGGTCCCTAATTGTGAAGTTCTTAGAGAGGTATTTACCACTGATTAACTACAAGGTTGTTAGATGGATTCATCCTCCCAGTGAAACTTATTAATGCAACACTGATAGGTCAGGGATAGTTTCTTTTACCATCTGTGTAAGAAATGAACTTGGTGACTTCATTTATTATAAGACCAGAGTATTAAAAGATGTTTTAGTTATTGAGTCTGAAATTAAAGTTATCAAAATGGACCTAGATTATTGTTTGCATACTAATCAAGTTCCACTGATCATTGAGATGGACTCTCTATTTGCTCAATAAGTATTAGATGGAAATTTGGAGGGTCCATGGTTTATATCTTGGGATTTTAGATACATAAATAGCAGGATGATTATTAAGGAGGTGGAAATATGTCATACATTCATGTACGGCAACTCCCTAGCAGACTCTTTTTTTTACTAATCGTATTGTTAATTTTGACATATAAATAGGCAGCCATTTCACAATTTTCAAGAGATTCTGCAAAAGGCTAAAACATTTGTGCAATTAGAAAAAGTAAAAATTCCTAATTTTGAGATAATAGAACTTCAAAACAAGGACTACATGCTACAATTGGGAGACAAAGAGTTAAGTAAATGTATCAACAACAAGGAATTGTGTAAAAGAGTCAGTCGATATGAAAAAGCTAGAACACTAAAATATTTAGTAGAATTTGGAACAAAACCTGTTTATTTGTTGTCTTGAGAAATGGTATCAACTCCTTTAGGGGTTCAACTTGCTGGGAGGATAAATTAAATGTGAGAACCCAAGAAAAAAATATGTCAATTGAAGGGGTGGAAGACTTATCTGGATTACGCTCAATTTAGCTGGGATGAAGTTTTGGCAGCTTCTGAGACCGTAAATTTAAGGCTATTTCAAAGGAAAATGAACAGAAATACTCTAAAACATCTCGTATCTCTATTGAAATTTAGATCTATGCCACTCAAACTGAAGAAGTCATCATTGGTCGAATCATAGTGTTAATGAGAAATTTACCGATAAAATGATTACACACCAAATCTGTGTGTCTTATAGATTATAGTTTGTGTGGTAGTGATGATACATGAATGGAGATCTGCAAGCTGGATTTTAATCGGAGAAGATGTGACAGTTTGGGCAAAATACCCAAGAACATGAAATGTAGATTTCCTTTTTAAGCTTTTCATTTTTGTTTTGCTTTTTTTTGTTTTTTTCTCTCGTTCAATGCAGACCACTTTTGGTCTATTCTTTATCCTTTTATGTTATTAAATAAATGAACTTTTATTGGGTTCATTTAAAATAAAAAAACTTATCTAATTCTTTTAATTAATTTTCTAAAGTTCAAACCTAAGTGTAAATCTTAATTCCTCCAATTAGCATAACTTCAATGAAATTTAAATAATTTGAAACGCCTAGTATTTAATTATTTATCTTCATATATCAAAATATTTATTTTTAATATGATAATTAAGTTGCGTTATAAAGTCATGCTCACTATGTTGTAAAACCAATCACTAGTAAAAGAAACCAATTGCAAAACTATAAGCCAAACCCTGCCTTTAAAATTGAACTTTGCAACTTCTTTCTCCCAGCACATCATTAAATTAAATGAATGACCAACCTTTCAACAATTAACTTTGCTCTAACTCAAACTTCCCAATGAAGCACACTATATGAGGCATTTTAAATTTCAATCTCTTCTCAATTTTATTTCTCTTTTCCAATCAATAACAATGCAACATACTAAATATTACTGCGAGAAATCAAAGAGTTTGAAGCATTACATGGATGACAGTCACTTTTAGTTGACGCCGCAGATAGTATTTCTCTCACTTAGTACTTTTAATTATCTAGGGTAACTTATTATGAACTAATATATATTAAATCTTACTAATTTTAATGTTATCTTCCTGAACCATGAACAAATTTAATTATTAAAATTCCCGCCCTAATTTTGATAAAGTAGTTACGAATAGTCCAAAATACCAATTTATAATCTAGCGGAAGTATGTTATGAAATAAAAAGCTCTACTCTAAAAAGTTTCCATTAAATTCATGTCTGCACGTGTTTTCACATTTTCATGCCTCCACAAAGAGCAGTCAGAGTTCGACCCACCAGAAAGAGTATCGAATAGCCATAGGTGCCTAATGCAAAGAATGTTCAACCTCAAGGAGAAGTCCCCGACCCTGAATTATCCGGATGTTAAGCAAAGATGTGACAAACAATGTGGGAAACAAAGAGGTTCTCAACAATAAGGGGCAAAAACTTCTATGAATCTGGAATTTTTGAAGATGAATCTCGCAAACATCACTTGTCAAGCACTATTGAGGATCCGGAAAACTTTGTGTAAGAGGTGAAGAAGGTGTTTGAGGCAATTCATGTTTTGGACACTAAGAGTTAAGGTAGATGCTTATCAACTCAAGGGCATTACTAGAACATAGTTTGATTAGTAGAAGGAGGGTAGAGGTGGATACGCACCACTTGCTAGTTGGGCTTGTTTTGAAGAAGCCTTCTTGGGATGCTTCGTTCCCCGAGAACTGTGAGAGATCCTTAAGATGGATTCTATATGTGTTCATGAGTATAGGGTAAATTTCATCCCACTTCCTCGCTATGATCCGGAGATGATTAAGGATACGAGGAGTAGAATGAGCTTGTTTGTTGCTGGCCTGGGTGGTGCTTCAAGCAAAGAAGGTAGGGTTGCAATGGTGATTGGAGACATGCACATTTCAAGGTTTATGGTCTATGTGCAATAAGTTGAAGAAGTAAAGCTAAGGGATATAGAGGAGTACATGAACAAGAAAGCTAAGACTGGTAATGAGTCTAGTTAATTGAAATGTGGTTCAAGTCGACCACAATTTCAGAAGCAAAAGGGGCATGAACCATCATCTTCTAGTGCACCTGTGCCCAGAAATAGAGGTGAGTATAATAGCTAGAAGTCTCAGAACTTCATGGCCAGGAAAGCCCAATCCCAAGGTAATATGGAACAAGGAGGAATTTTGGATCCTACATGTGCTAAGTGTTGTAAAAACAACCCCGATAAATGTCGTGATGGCAAGCCAGGTTGCTTCAAGTTTTGTCAAGAGGGTCACTTCATAAGAGAGTGCCCTAAGAATAAGCAAGGTGGTGTAACTCCGGGTAAGAGGGATCAATCTTCATCAGTTGCTCCACCAGACAGGGCTGCTGTCACGACCCAAAACGAGCCGCGAGTGGCACCCACACTTATCCTCCTATGTGAGCGAACCAACAAATCTAACTCCAACATTTACCAATATTTCAACCATAACAAAACAAAATATAATGCGAAAGACCTAAAACATATTAATATAACCAATAAATAAGCTTCTAAAGTTTATCAATTATTATCCCCAAAATCTGGAAGTCATCACACCAAGAACATCTATCCTCAAATTTATAAATCTAAGTGTATTTAAGAATCTAAAATAAGTAAACAGATGGTCCATGTCCGAACTTCAAGGACATCAAGACGTGAATGAGAGAATCCAGTGCGAGCTAGGAACAATAGCTCACCCTGAAAATCTTATATGCTGGAGACTGGCTAGAGTTGAGTGCGAGTCGAAGTCGATGGCACGCTTGCTGCACTGCACAAATAACAAAGAAGAAAATTACAAGTAGGGGTCAGTACAAAGAACACGTACTGAGTATGTATCATCGGCCAACTCAAAATAGAAAGCAATATATACTGAATAATAATATAAAATCAACCAGAATACTGAACAGGTGACAACAACAAGTACAAGAACCATTGGCAACAACACCAAGCACACCTATGAGGACTCAAGCCTCCACACTATACTCATTTTGGGAATAGTTTCTTCGATTTTGAGTATATTAACATAATTCAAGATTACTTCTCTTTACTATTATCGTGTTGGAATGTGACACTCCGATCCCCTAATACTACCGTTTCAGAACGTGACACTCCGATCTATTATTACTACCGTGTTGGAACGTGACACTCCGATCCCCTAATACTATGTGTCGGAACGTGACACTCCGATCCCCTAATACTACGTGTTGGAACGTGACTCTCTGATCCCCTAATACTACGTGTCGAAACGTGACACTCCGATCCATATACCTCATTATTTTAGTTCATCAAGCCTTCTTTATGCCAAGGCGTCATCTTAATAGAGAGGATTTAAGATTGAAGATTCAATAGTCTCATCATTCTAACCACCACAATTACACAATTCACAACATACAACCACACAATCAAGCATATAGAAGACTTTACAATACCACCCAATACATATCAATCACTATTTAGAGTTTAGGTATCATATAGAAATAAACCATAACCTACCTCCACCGATGAATTGTGATCAAGTAAGCTACTTCCCAATGCCTTTGCTTTCCTCTTCGTTCTCTCTCTCTCGCTCGTTCGTTCCCTTCTGTTCTTTTTCTTTTTCTTCTCCAGATTCTTTTTCTTTTACCCTAATTATCATATAATCCCTTATGATAAAAGTACCCCATTATTTATTTCCCTATTATCCTCTTTAACCCCCATGTAAATAAATTATTAAACTTACCCCACTAATTCCATAAGTATAATCACGAATAGTCCGAACCACCCCTTAAAAACTTTTAGTAGAAGTCCGACCAAGTCGGGGTTACGCAACCTGTGACGGTCTGTCGTATCAATGACGGTCCTATCTGCAGGTCTATCACAAGGTTCAGAGAGTTAAATTCAGTAAAGAGGTTTGTGACGGCCCGTCGTATCTACGACGGTCCGTGCTGCAATTCCGTTGTGAAGTTCAGAGAGTCGATCCCAGTACCTAGATTTCAGAGTTGATGTGTTTTGGAACGAAGACCCTTGACGGACCATTGTGTCTATGACGGTTTGTCCTACCTGTCGTCGAGGGTAATGAGAAAAGCAGCAGAAGAAATTACACAAGTATGGGACGACGGAGTCCATCACGGTCCGTCGTGGACATGACGGTCTGTCGCGTAATCCGTCGACCCAAACTGTTTTTATCAAAATAATTCTACTACTCGAACCGACTAAACATGTTGTTACAATATATACCAATTTACCCATCGTTCGTCCTCGAACGATCACAAGAAGAAAAACAAGGGCGAGAAAGAGTACCTGAATCTGTAAAAAGATGTGGATATCTTTCTTGCATATCAGCCTCATTCTCCCAAGTGGACTCTTCAACTGGCCGATTCTTCAACTGAACCTTCATGGATGCAATCTCCTTTGATCTAAACTTGCGGACTTCCCTATCTAAAATAGCAGCAGGATCCTCCTCATAAGACAAATTCTCATCAAGAAGAACTAAATCCCAACGAATAATGTAGTTTCCATCCCCATGGTATTTTTTTTAGCATAGACACATGAAATACCGGATGCACTTCTGAGAGTCCTGGAGGCAATGCCAATTCATAAGCCACATCCCCCACGCGCTTCAGAACTTCGAATGGACAAATATACCTCAGACTAAGCTTTTCTCGCTTACCAAACCGCATCACCCCTTTCATGGGTGAAACCTTCAGCAAGACCTGTTCACCCTCCATAAAATCCAAGTACCTAACCTTTCGATCTGCATATTCTTTCTGCCTGTTCTGAGCTGCCAGAAGCTTCTCCTGAATGAATTTTACTTTATCTAACGATTCCCTCAAAAGATCGGTACCCCATGGTCTCACCTCAAATGCATCAAACCAACCAATGGGAGACCTACATCTCCTCCCATACAGTGCCTCAAATGGGGCCATATCAATACTTGAGTGATAGATATTATTGTATGAAAACTCTGCTAAGGGTAAGAAGTTATCCCAATGACCACCAAATTCTATCACACATGCACGAAGCATATCCTCCAAAACCTGAATCGTTCGCTCAGACTGATCATCGGTCTGAGGGTGAAATCCAGTACTAAGATCCAACCTAGTACCTAATTCAGCATGCAATGTTCTCCAAAACTTAGAAGTAAATTGCATACCTCTATCTGATATGATGGAAAGTGGAACTCCATGCAATCGAACAATTTCTGAGATAAAGAGTTTGGCTAACTTCTTTGCATTGTAAGTCACCTTAACCGGAATGAAGTGAGCAGACTTAGTTAATCTGTCAACAATTACCCAAATAGAATCAAACTTACCCAATGTCTTTGGAAGACCAACCACAAAATCCGTTGCAATTCTTTCCCATTTCCATTCAGGAATGAGCATTTTCTGAAGTGTTCCTCCGGGCCTCTGGTGCTCATACTTTACCTGCTGACAATTCGGGCATTGGGCAACAAAAT